AGAGGTGTTGGTGGGAAGCAAACATACCTTGCATGCCGAGTTGCATGCTCTCCATTTGGGCTCGCATTGCCTCCATTTTTTGTTGGTAGTCAGGTTGGTGATGTTGTTGTTGTTGCCTTGATCCTTGTTGTTGTTGTTGTTGTTGGTGGAACTCATCCTCTGTGCCCTCATTGCTTTGGCCGGACCCTTCCCCCGTGACCATCCTAGCGCTAGGAAGGACGCCTGAGTCCTTCTTTACCCACCATGGGTAATTGACTCCTTCCCTTATGAAAGAAGTGAATTCCGGCTTAGGCAGGAAACAGTGGTGCTCGTGGGAGACAAGTAAGCTCCAAGTCTTTCCTAGATCCTCGGTATCCGCGAAGAACTTCATGGTTTTTAGTTGGTAGAGGTCGAGCTAGATATCACTCCCATCACTCTTCCCTACGGGGGTGCAAGATTCGAGCTTAGCCATATGCCCCAGCTTCTCGGCTATCCGAGTTACCATCCCTCCAAAATGAATTTCACCTTTCCTTGTACCCGACTGGACACTCTCAATGCATTTGGAGAATAGATACCCGAAGTTCATTCTGTGCCCAATTTCCGGCTGCGTAGCTAGCCATAATAGTCGGATTTCCTCGGTTGTAATCTTCCCCAAGTCCTGTTTATTAAAGACCGTGTACCCAAGGATTCGATGCAGAAGTCTGATGGCTGGGTGCATGATCTGAATGGCTAACGAGTACTTGGAGTTGAAGGCGTTCATTCTCGAAATGACCTTCCACCAGTGAAGGGGCTCATAAGCATGGAGCCCCGCATGTTCGGGGAAGAACATATCGGCATCGGGGTTGAAATCCAGCAGTTGGTTAAACTGGCAGAGGGTGAAGGTTTCGTTTTTGTTAAAGAGTTAGAAGGAGATGGAGAGATCATTATCTCCTGCGGCATGAGTTTCGAAGGAAGCAAGAAACTCTAGGGTAGGCTCTTTGTAGGTTCGATATGCACTTGACACAAAGGAGCCGAGTCCGAGGTTGTTGAACAAGAACCAACAATCCTCATCGATACCAAGCTTGGTTGTGGTGGAGTGATGGTAATGCTTGGTTGGTCTCAATTTTCTGTTTAGGAGGTTGTCATAGATGGGTTTGTGGTTTTTGTTGTGGAATTTGAGGGTTGGTAGAGGTGGTGGAGCGGTTTGGGGTGTAGGTTCATTTTGTTGGGGGTTGGAAGAGGATGAACCTTGGAGTTCCTTCCCACTTTTTCTCTTCTTAGAACCGAAAACCATTGTCACCAATATCAAATTGCAGTCCAATTCCAAAACAATCACTCACAATAGTCACACTACAACAATCTCCAAAACCAAGAATCACCAAGTTCAAACCACAAGCAAGCAATCTATGACAAGGAACAAACTAACACAAACAACAACTCAACAATTAATAATGCTTAAGATGATGAATGAATACAAATTAGGCATGCACCAATCAAAAATTTCAACATGAAAATTCATAAAAATACAATTTCTCAACCAAAAGCATGTTTCAAATTCAAAGGTAAATGAGAGTAAGGAAGAAATGTATACCAAAATGGATACCAAAAATTGCTCCTACTATCCCCTTGAAGAAGAAATCAAGACTTCCTCCAAGAACCCACCAATGGTGAAAGAAATTGCCACACAAAGAGGAATACCGAAATTGGGGGTTTTAAAGGATGTAATTTCAGGTTTTTGGTGAGAAATATTGTAGAAGAGTGAGGGAATTGTTGAAATTTGATGGAATTTGATGAATTAGAAAGAGAAATTTAAGAGGAATGGGTTAGGGTTTGAAATGGAGTAAGAAGTAGAGAGGGAAAAGGGAAAAAAATCTGATTATGTTTTCGGGCATGTGGCTGAAAATAAAAGGAGAAGTCGCAGACCTGAAGGGTCGCGCCCGCGGCATGCTCTGACCGCGCCCGCGAGATCGTATGCCGCGCCCGCGGCTTTAGGGTTTCAGGTTTCTGTTTTTCTGGACTGTAGGATGCCGCGCCCGCGGCGGTGCCTGTCCGCGCCCGCGGGGGAGCCCGCCGTGCCCGCGGCTAACTCTGCCCGCGCCCGCTCTCTGTATCCCTGAGCCATCTCCATTTTATGTGGAAAAAATTGAAAACCTCTGCCGCGCTCGCGGGCCTATGGGCCGCGCCCGCGGGGCCTTCTGTGCGCGCCCTCTCCAGTTCTCATAGGCATCATAGCGGAGCTCCTCAAGTTCATTGATCTTAAGTAGCCTCTTTTCGCCCGCCAAGGTCATATCCATATTGAGCCCTTTGATCGCCCACCAAGCTTTGTCATCTAACTCGACCGGCAAATGACAAGCCTTTCCATAGACCAATCGGTAAGGAGTAGTACCAATCGGGGTCTTGTAAGCCGTCCTTAGAGCCCAAAGCGTATCATCAAGTTTGAGAGACCAATCTTTTCTAGACTTGTTCACCATCCTCTCAAGAAGGTTCTTGATCTCCCTATTTGATACTTCCACTTGTCCTTGAGTTTGGGGGTGGTATGGTAGGCCGATTTTATGATGAACCCCATAGCGTTTGAGGAGAGCTTCAAGTTGTTTCTTGGCGAAGTGAGAACCACCATCGCTAATAAGAACTCTTGGGACCCCGAATCTTGGGAAGATGATCTTTTTTAGAAGCTTGAGCACAACCTTGTGGTCATTGGTGGGCGAGGGTATAGCTTCGATCCACTTGGTCACGTAGTCCACTGCCACCAATATATAGAGATTGCCACAAGAAGAAACGAAAGGCCCCATAAAGTCGACCCCCCATACATCAAAGGGTTCAACCTCCAAAATATTTTGTTGAGGCATTTCATCACGCTTGGTTATGCCCCCACTTCTTTGGCACTTATCACATCTAGATATGAATTTGTGGGCTTCCTTTTTCATTGTTGGCCACCAAAGAAGAGATTGAGAAATTTTAGCCACGGTTTTTTCTACTCCTCCATGCCCACCACATGGCAATGAATGACAATGCTCAAGCACCCCTTCGATCTCATGATCCGGAACACATTTTCTAAAAATCCCATCTCCACATTGCTTGAATAGATAAGGATCGTTCCAAAAATACCTCCTCACTTCTTTGAAAAACCTTTTCTTTTGTTGAGAGGAGAACTCCGGGGGAACGACACCACATGCTAAGTAATTGGCAATGTCCGCATACCAAGGGCTTGGTGTTGATGCAATGGCCATAAGAGCCTCAAAACCAAATTCTTCATTGATAGGCACGTCTTCTTTATTCTCAAAAGGAAGTCTCGATAGATGGTCCGCTACATAATTTTCCGCCCCCTTTTTGTCCCACATTTCCATGTCAAAGTCTTGGAGAGAAAGAACCCAACGAATGAGACGCGGTTTTGCTTCCTTTTTGGTCATAAGGTAGCGGACCACGATGTGATCCGTGTAGACTATCACCTTTGAGCATATAAGGTAAGACCGGAACTTATCCATGGCAAAGACAATCACTTGCATCGCACATTAGCTCAAAGGGCAAGCTCCAATCCGGAGCTTGCACCACAGGAGAAGAGATGAGGGCTTCCTTGAGCTTTTGAAATGCCTCAAGGCAACCCTCATCAAAATTGAACACAACATCCTTTTTGAGTAACTCGGTTAAGGGTTTGGCGATAGATGAAATTTTTTTGATAAACCTCCGGTAAAAACCGGCATGCCGAAGAAAAGCTCTCACTCCCGTGACGGAGTTAGAAGGGGGCAACTTAGCAATCACCGAAACCTTAGCCGAGTCTACTTCAATGCCCTTTTTTGATACTTTATGGCCTAGGACAATACCTTACTCGACCATAAAATGGCATTTTTCCCAATTCAACACTAAACTCGTCTCTTGACACCTTTTCAAAACTTTTTCAAGGTTAATAAGGCATGTGTCAAAAGACGATCCACCAACACTAAAATAATCCATAAAAATTTCAATTTCATTCTCAAGCATTTCAGAAAAAATGGAAGTCATGCATCGTTGGAAAGTTGAGGGAGCATTGCATAACCCGAATGGCATTCTTCGGTACGCAAATGTCCCATATGGACACGTAAAAGTAGTTTTCTCTTGATCATTTGGTTGGATAGGGATTTGGGAAAAGCCGGATTATCCATCCAAAAAGGAAAAGAAAGCATGATGGGAGAGTCTTTCCAACATTTGATCCATGAAGGGGAGAGGAAAATGATCTTTCTTAGTGTTCTTATTCAGCTTCCTATAATCGATGCACATCCTCCACCCGGTGACCGTCCGAGTGGAGATTTCCTCTCCTCCTTCTCCCTTGACAATGGTCATTCCACCCTTTTTGGGGACCACGTGAACCGGGCTAACCCACTTGCTATCGGAGATAGCATAGATTATACCCGCCTCACGCAATTTCAAAATTTCCTTCTTGACTACCTCTTGGAGGTTGGGGTTTAACCTCCTTTGAGGTTCAATGGAGGTGGATTGATCATCCTCAAGGTGAATACGATGCATGCATAAAGAAGGGCTAATACCCTTAATATCGTCAATGTTGTACCCTATCACATTTCTATATTTTCTCAAAACAACAATCAATTTTTCCAAATCAAGACCATTAAGGGAAGAATTGACAATAATGGGGTATTCTCCTTCATTTCCAAGATAAGCATATTTCAAAGAAGGGGGAAAGGGTTTGAGTTCTACCTTGGGAGGGGGCTTAGAACTCTCCTCCAATTTTTCCTCCTTATGTTCAAGCTCATCATGCTTAGTACCGTTCTCTTCTTCATTTTGGCTTCTTCAATGGCCATAGCAAATTCCTTTGCTTCTTGGGAGAAGTAATCTTCCTCACATGTGAGAGCTTCGGCCATAGGATCTTTAGGACTCATGACAACCCTTCCCAAACGATCTAGCTCTTCATTGACAACATCGACCCTATAACACTTCTCAACCATGGGGTTTTGAGTAGCTTAGAGAATTCAAAGACAACTTTTTTATCGGCCACTTCACATGTAATGGTATTATTCTTGCAATTGATTACCGCCCCCAAATTTTTAAGAGCTTCACGGCCCAAGATCAAAGGTGTATCCACATCTTCTTCCATATCCATCACCACAAAAGTCACATGGCACATAGATATTCCCAACTTGAATAGGGACATCTTCAAGCTCTCCACAAGGTAGCTTCACCGATCGATTGGCCAATTGAATGGTTTTCCTAGTGGGGATCATCTCAATGTTAAGCTTTTGAGCAATGGATAGAGGGATTAAACTAACACTTGCTCCAAGGTCGGCTAGGGCACCCCTAGCTTCCATGTTCCCAATTTTGACCGGCAAGGTAAAGCTTCCCGGGTCCTTTTGCTTCTTGGGAATTTTGTGTTGAACAAGTGCACTCACTTGATGGGGAAGAGTGATAAGCTCATCATTAAGCTTCCTTTTGTTGGTGAGAATGTCTTTCAAGAACTTGGAGTATGTAGGCATTTGTGTGACAACTTCAATGAAAGGGAGGTTAATGTGTAAGTTTTTCATCACACTTAGAAACCTTGCACATTTATCGTTCAATTTTCTCTCCGTAAGCCGACCGGGAAAAGGAACCGGTCCATCAAGGTTTCTAGTCTCACTAGAAGTTGAGGATGTCACCACATCCTTAGTCTTCTTTTTCTCCATACTCTTCTCTTTCTCATCAACCTTCTCTTCTTCAACTTTCTTATCATCACTCATCTCTTCTTCTCCCTCCTTTTCCTTACCATCCTCTTCCTTGGGACTCTCATAAGATGTACCCGATCTCAATGTGATTGCCTTGCAAGAGTCGGGTTTTATAATATTGGAAGGGTTGGTTTGTGATTGTCCAGGCAAAGTGGAAGATGAGTGAAAAGAAACTCTCTCGGCCAATTGTGCTAGTTGTGAATCAACCATCTTGTTATGAGCCTTGACTTCTTGCATTTGTTGATTCATGGATTGAAGTTGTTGAAGAATTTGAGTTTGAGTAGAATCGGGTTAAGATGCTAGCTCTTGACTTCTTTGAGTTGCTTGGGTTTGATTTTGGTATTGGTGTTGATTATTGTGTTGGTTGTTTCTTGGGTAGTTTCCTCTTTGATTTTGGGTTTGGAATGGAGGAGGGTTTTGATATTGGGTGTTGGAATGGTATGGTTGTTGAGCCTGTTGATTCCATTGTTGAGATTGGTTTGCAAATCCGGGTGGTGGTTGTCTCCAAGCTACTCCTCCACCATTCCCCATATACCCTTCTTGCCTTGTGTTGTATGCCGCTACATGCTCCGGGCTCAACCCGCCACAATAGGATGTATCATGGTTGGTGCCACCACAATTTTCACAAGAGAAAGAGTTGACTTGGGAGGAGCTTGAACCACTAGCAACACTTGTATTCAACTTGGCAAGCTCTTTTGTCAACATCTCAATTTGATATTGCAATTGATCGACCTTCTCCAACTCATACTTCCCACCTTTCTTTGGTGCATTCCTCCTCCTTCCTCCCCAAGAGTAATTTTTAACTACCTCTTCGATTGTTGCTTCAACTTGATTTTGAGGGACTTTGATCAATTGTCCACCCGCTCCCGCATCCAAATTAGCTCGGGACATCGGTTCCAAACCATCATAGAAGAACCTCATGAGTAAGCTTTGATTGTACTCATGGTGAGAACATGCTTGCACCAACTCCTTAAACCTCTCCCAAGCTTCACTAAGACTCTCCTCCGCCTCTTGTTCAAAAGATGCTATCTTCCTCCTCATCTCGGCGGTTTTCTCCTCGGAGATGAATCTCTTCAAGAATGCTTGCACAATTTCCCTCCATGTCGTGAGAGAATTAGGTTTGACTTGCTTGAACCACTTCTTTGCTCTCCACGCAAGAGATTGCCGAAATAGGTGCATCCGGATGTATTCTTGACAAACTTGGTTGGTTTGTATCATGGCACAGAGTTCGAGGAACCTATCAAGGTGCTCAATGGGGTCTTCACTTGGTGAACCCGAGAATTGCTCCGCTTGAACCATTCGTGTGTATTGAGGATGGATGGTTAAGTTAGTCTTAGTGACGGGTAACAATATCCCACCGGTGAGTTCATAATCCTCCGGATTACCGAACTCACGGAATAATACATCCACTTGTTGTCCCGCCATTTCGTCACCTTGGGAATGTGAGGAACAAGAATCACTTTCACTATCAAAAATTGCACCAAAACCTCTTCCCTCCTCTTGATAGAGTCTACGGACTTGTCTCAAGGTTCGGTCGATTTCATGATCAAGGTTGTGAGTAGGTGGTCCTTGAGATCTTCTTTGCATTCACCAAAGCTAAACAAACAATTAGCAATGACTAGCAAGTGTGCAAAACTAGCCGTTTCCCCGGCAACGGCGCCAAAATTTTGATCGGTGGACAATAGGTCGTTAGTTTACTGCAACCAGCCAATAAATCCTCGAATTTGTTTCTCGATTTTGGGCGATGGCATTGACATGATTTCCTTGATCTTGGTTGAGTCTATCTCCATGCCTCTAGAGCTTATGACATATGCCAAAAGCTTGCCTGAGGTGACTCCCAAAGCACACTTGGATGGATTCAAACTCATATTGTATTTTCTTAGCCTTTTAAAGAATTTTCTCAAGCCTACTTGATGTCCTGGGCAATCTTTTGATTTCACAATCATGTCGTCCACATATACTTCAACCTCCTTATGCATCATGTCATGGAGTAAGGCAGTCGCTGCTCGTTAGTAAGTAGCACCCGCATTTTTCAACCCGAATGGCATTACCGTGTAACAGTATATACCCCATGGTGTTATGAATGTTTTTTTCTCCATGTCTTCTTCTGCCATGAGAATTTTATTGTATCCCGCGTATCCATCCATAAACAAGAGAAGTGTGTGATTTGTTGTATTATCTACCAAAATATCGATGTGTGGTAAAGGGAAGTTCTCCTTTGGACTTGCCTTATTTAGGTCTCGATAAAAGACACACATTCTTATCCTTCCATATTTCTTTGGAATTGGGAAAACGTTGGCTACCCATTCGGGGTATTTAGATACCCTAATAAAACCCGCAGTTATTTGTTTTTGAACTTCTTCTTTTATTTTAAGAGCTACGTCGGGTTTCATTGGACGCAACTTTTGTTTTATAGGTTTCATTCCTGGAATTAGTGGTATAGTGTGTTCAGCTATTTCTCTATTAATACCTGGCATATCTTCATATGACCAAGCAAATACATCGATAAATTCTTTAAGTAGATTAATTAAATCGGATCTTTCTTGTTCATTAATTGTTAATCCGATTTTAACTTCTCTTTTAATTGTCGAATCATTCAAGATATCAACCGTCTCAGTTTCCTCAATTATTGGTGTTTTATTTTCAAGCGTTTCCATAGCTTTAATAATTTCTTTATCATTTTCATTGTTAGTTAAGCCATGCTCGTCATCTTGGGTTAAAGAAAAACACGAGGAGTAAGTAGAAGAAGACATATTATTGAATTCTGAAATCATTACATCAATAAGGGAAATGTCCTCAGGGACTTGATTACTATCTATCCTAGGAGTAGAAATAGAAGGAGGGGGTGCTACGACTAAAGACTTAGACGACTCTACAAGAAAGGACTCAAACTCTGACTCTGACTCTAACTCAGACAACTCTTGAAACATCGTTCCTTGCCCTATTGTTATAGAAATTTTCCTTCCGCTTTGAGTGGTCACCTTGACTGTCTTGCGCCACTCTTGTAATGATCCTTCTACTGGAGTGATGAGCTTTAAAGGGTCAAAGTTATCTCTTTCTAGGACCATTTGGATGAGGGAGGAGTTATCCTCTATGTATCTCGGCTCATCTTTTTCTCGCCCAAATAATAATCCCATGACATTAAAGTCAAAGAATGGGCGTGCTTTCTCCTTGTGAATAGGAGTTGGGATTTCATCTAGAAAGTAGCAATCTAAGAACATTTCAAATCCCGGTTGCCTTATGCCATTTACAACAAAAGGTTCGGGAAATTCATAGCATGGATAGTCCTCTCCTTCTTATATGAATTGTCCATTGAGAGTAAGAGGATATTAATCCATTGGGATTTCTTTCTTTTGGATGCGAGCGTTCGTACACGCCTTAGACCTCTCCTGGGCTCGCTTAAGATCTTCCTAAGTCGGTTCAAAACTAAGTTCAAAAGTATCTAACTTAGGGAGGCCAGGAAATTCCATCTATTTTGCTATTCCCTTCTTCTTTCCTAGAATCATTCCAGGAAAATGCCCTTGTCTCTTAAGAATAGCATTTACTGTCATGTTGGAGTGGGGGTCGTGATAGAGAGGGGTCCTTTCATCCTCTTCGATCAAGGAGACCTCTTCATTAAAGCCCCATAAGTCTTTATCGTCTTCATCGTGCTCCACATTGATGATTGGATTTTCCACAGCTTTAATCCTCATGGGTGAAGCATCAATTGTTATATGGATTCCTCCAACTATGGCTTTTACCTGTTGATGAAGAGATGGAGGGATGGCCTTGAGGTCATGAAGCTAAGGGCGTCCCAACAATAAGTTGAATGAAGCTTTAATATCTACCACTTGGAAGGTAGTGGCATGTTCTATTGCTCCAGCCGCTAAATTCATAATAATCTTACCAAGAACATGGCGACGAGTGTTGTCATTGGCTCTTCCTTGTGTTGATGGAGTTAAGTCTTCATTCCGTATGCCTAACATCATCGCAGTTCTGAGGAGACAGATATTAATTGCAGATCCATTGTCTACAAGAGTCATTGGGACGTCCATTCTCTTGCAGACTATTGTAAGGTTGGATGCCTTGTAATGTTTGTCATCTTCTAGAGGTAAATCTTTATCAGAAAAGGTGATCAAGTTGATAGGACTAGGGAATCACTCGTAAGTAAGTTAGCCAACCCCTCAGGATTGGTGTCGGAGTTTATCCCTATCTTATCCAAGGCATTCATTACTGTCAACCTATCTTCTCGAGATGTCAACCTTAGTCTTTTAGAATTGCTTGACAATATCATTATCTTCTATGATAGGTATGGGAACTTGTTGCATGGTGATCGGTGGACAATAGGTCGTTAGTTTATTATCCTAGATTAAAATTACAATTTATAACTCCTATCCTAGCTCTATCAAATTTTGCTTTAGATAGCGGTAAGTTAGGGTCGATTCCCAAGGAAACGGGGGTTTAACACAATTAATACGAAATCGAGGAGAAGTTGCTAATAACAAAAGGTGGTATTTGAATTTGTGTTGAAGAATTCTATGGACAAACTAACTACTATTAAGCCTAGAATAAACTAGATATAAGGGAAATAGATTAAACACTTTTAAAAGCAAATAAATGGACAAGATTATAGAGATAACAATGACAAAAGCACTAGGGAAAGGGGGATTCAATCATGAACAAAGAGTACTAGCGAAAACCGAAAGGAAACCGATTCTAGGAGTATAAACTCTACCTAAAATAGTTCATTCTCATGCAACTACTTAAGCAAGTCGACGAAATCATTCACACATAGATTAAATCATTCTCATGCATTTAATCGAGGGCTAGATTCTTGGGATTAGAGGTGCACACACTAACTCCAAGCATGTTATAGCTCAAATCATCAACTCAAGAATAATTCCTAATCAATAATCAATAGATATTCAAATACACATGATTTTCACCCCCTTCCCTAGCCTAAAAACCTAAGCTAGAAGGAAGGGAATGGCCATAACAACTAACATAAGCATGTATTCAATACCAACACAACCTAACATGATTCTAACTTGAAAGGAAAATCAAAGAAACTAATAAAGCTTGAATATTTATGGAAATAAACTCAAGTAAGAGCAATAAAACAAAGAAAATCAAAAACTAGAGAAACAAAAGTAAAGATTGATATTATAAAGATTAAAGATTAGCAAATCATCAAAGTAGTAGCAACAATCTAGAAGAAAGCTTGAATATTT